ATCACAGGCCGTGGGTCCCACGCACTGGGCGTCTGGCACAGGCGATGCTCTTCCGGAGGCCGAACAAGAACTGAAATTCAAGCTCAGGGCTTGAGGCTGGGGGAGGTGAGTCATCAGTGTTGGGTCGCAGGCCAGCTGGGTGACTTCAGCAGGCCCGGCCACCACCTCCCGCCCAGGGCCTCACCATCCCTGCGCCCCTCCCTCCTGCGGGCCGGTCCAGAGACGGGGGAGACCGGGTCGATCCTTCCGGACGACTTTGGCCCCACCCTTGGGTCTGGGGCCTCTGCCCCCCAGGACTGGCCTTTCCCCTTCCCGCCGGCACCAGCACTGCCCACCCACCCACCCTCGGGGGGCTCCCCGCTTGCTCACTGCCGGTCATCCCAGATTCCAATCTCCAGACTCACTGGCTTGGATGAGAGCCTTTGGCCGCCCACCCTCGGAGGGTCGGACAGGGACCCAGCCCACGAAACAGATGTTTTCTGCGCCTTCTTTCCGCTCCTTTGTCTCGCAGGGAGAAAGGGGACGGCAAACCCTTCCCATTTTGTCTACCCTGCGCCGTCCCTTGACCTTCTAGGGCGCGGTGGGGCTCGTCCGTGGGGACGATTTACGTCCTGCGCTGAACTGGCTGCCAGAGGTGTCAGGCTTGTCCTACGAGGGAGGGGCGGGCGCTCTGAGCGGAAGGGGCACAGATCGGAGTCCTCACTGCTCACGGTCACGGCCTCAAACAAGTCCCGGCCTGTTGGAGCCACAGTTTTGTCATCGGCGGAAGGGGGATGATAACGCCTCCCGGTTGGTCTTCTCCTCGGCCTTGAGGCCGGCAGCACTGCCCCGAGCCGCTTGGCGCACTGGCACGAGGCGGGTCAGAGGCCGCTGGGCTTGTTCACACTCCAGCCCGCATTCCACTCCTCTTGTGTGAGGCCGGCCGCTGTCTAGAGCCCGTCCTCACCCCCAGACTCGCTGCTTCTCAGGCCCGGGCGGTTGCCCCCTCTCCTCGTGGTGGTCCCCTTGGGTGCTCCACCCTGATGAGTCCTCTTCCAGGCTGGCAGGCTGCTCAGCTGTGCCCTTCTCCAGAGATCTCCCTGAGCTGCTGGGACCCCCCCCCCACATGCCCAGGGGGGGGGGGGGGGGGGGCCGCCCCCCCCCCCAACACACAGCCCCCAGAAGTGACCCGCAGCCAGTGACGGACAGATTCAGGCACAAAAGCCCAGCCCCTTGTGCAAGGAAGGACAAGTCTGCGGGAGCAAGAGCTCCGGTTTGGAATTCTCCGGATAGACAGAGCAAGAACAAGCTGTACCTCCCCCCAAGACATCCCCCTTCTTGCCTCCCAGGCAGGCAGGTTGGTCTGTACAGAGAGCGTGAGCTGGGAACAGAAAGGCAGATGTGGGGCTGACTCCGGCTTTAACAGTCCCTAGTGGGTACGACTTAGGTAGTTCACTGTGCCTTTCTAGGCTTCTTATTTATAGGATGTGGGTTATTATGTCCACACTGTGGCTCCCAGGTGGGAATTCCGAATTCCAGAGCACCCGCAAAGCCCCCGGAATGGTGTTTGGGGCACAGCCCTGTAGCCATGGCTGCCCCTTCCCTTCCCTCCCAGGAGGAGATAGGCTGAGGGGGACCGCCGGTGCGGGAGCCATGCCCTAACTCGGCCTTGGCCCGTGGTGGCCAACGCTGGCCCAGCAGGAGTGTTGGAGGCCAGCTGCGCGCTGTGGCCTGTCTGTGGGCCCTGGTGGCCTCATAACTCCTCTGCGACTCAGTTCAGGAGCCAAACCGCCTGTAAATGAAAACTTCTTACGCCCAGCTTTTGGTCTGGAGGCCATCTCGTCTGAGCGCTGGCCTGCCAAGAGGCCCCCTAGGCCACGGAAGGCCTGCCAGGGTCTCTGGTGGACTTCTCCACGTGGCCCCAGACCTCCTCCATCTGACACCACTGGGCCATTGCTCCCGGCAGCCTCAGGCCACCGATCAGTAAACCCCAAACCAAGGAAGCTGACTCGGTAAGAAAGACGGCTGCTCCACTGAGTCAAGAGGTCGCCCCTAGCAAGTCACAGGCTCCCCTTCCAATAACTACTATCGAGGAAAAGTTGCAGAGGCCGCTCGTAACCTGCCGCTCTGGGCACCACAGGCAGGCCGCCCAAATCAGACTTGATCTAAGGGCTGAAGCGAGGCTCGTGTGTACGGTCTCCAGCTCTTGGCTTTTTGTCCCTTGCTCCATTCCTTGCCATGTCACAGTCCTGTGTGCCTTGGCACAGAAGCGGATGGCCACAGTGGGGCCCGAAGAAAGGTTGGGAGCTTCCCAGACCCTCGTCAGACTGTGGCCTGAGCTACCACTTAAGGAAAAGAGGGTGTCCAGCCCCAAAGAGGTATCACTGTCACCCAGATGGAGCTCCAAGAAACTAACCAGCACGCATGGGATCAGGGAAGCAGGTAATACTAAGGTTTCCGGACACGAGGTGAAAATACCATATAAAAGGCTGATTCTGCCAACAGGATTAAAATTCCTCCAAGTTTACTGCTTCAACCTTTTTCCTCAACAGGCCTGGCTTGCCTATTTTTTCTAAATGTTCCCTTTTTTTTCTGACCAAAGATAATCCCATTCTAGACCATGAGCCTATTCTTAGTCGGGCAAGATTACTCATAACAAGCCGCTCTCATTTATTGAGAGCTTATTATGTGCCGCGTGCTTTACACAATCTCCCTTTGTCCTCATACCCCAAGGCATTATTTTTACCCCTGTTTTATAGTTGAAGAAACAAAGGCTCAGAGACATTCCCATGGCTTGCCTAGATCACTGAGGTGGCAGGTGACCTGGTCGCTGGGACACACAGTCCCAGAACCTTGGTCTGGCTGGCTCCGGAGCCCACGCCCTCGGCTGCCACAGCAGTTCATCCGCCGAGAACAGGAGAGTTCCGTGAAGGGAATGTTACCTTTTGTCCTCAGTCTGCGAGACGAGAAGGAGCTTCCCACACCTGCCCACGCGGAGTGACTGACTACAAACAGCAAGCTTACGGGGGCTGCTTTTTGCTTTGGATTCCACATCACACGACAAAGGGCCAATGTCTTCCTAACTGGGGTGCTCCCCAGTGGCAACTAGATACTGTGAGAGGAGGAAAAAAAAGAAAGAAAAATCAAGGGGTGGGGGGTAGGCCTTTAGCTCATCCGGATCTTCAAAAATTGTCCATTTTGATATCCCCCCCCCCGCCATTAATGAAAAACCCCACAGCCAATACAAGTTAGAAAATGCAAAAAAAAAAAAAAAAAAGGAAACAGAAGGAAAAAAATTACATGTAGGACTCTTCAACCAGTGATTTGGGGGCAAATTTCCTTCGGTCTTTGTAAGGGTGGGAATTTAAAAACATCATAGTCAGGATCGCACCGCGTAAGTATACTGATTTATTCGCGAGAAAAATTTCATCATACATGTTTTTTAGAAACATCCTTGGCCTTACGTCCTTTTATAAACCATGCTTTGTCTCCGGCTGCACCCAATTTTCCTTAACCAGCTCCCGGGGCGGTGGGGGGGGGGGGGTTGTACTTAGGTTGGGACGAAGCATGTCTAAGTCGTTTCTCGGCTCATCTGTTGCTTTAGGGTCTCCGAGATCAATTTCGTTTTCCTTGGCAAACCTAGGTGCCTACCGTAGTGGCACCTGCCGTGGGGCTTCCCGGCACCACTTTCCTTGTGGACAAACTCTCTTCACTCCGCCCCCTGACAGATAAAACCCTGCCATCGCCCCGTGAGCCTGGATCTCCCACTGGCTTGGCAACAACTTCTGCCTCCAGCCCCGTGGACCCCACACCGTGCCCTCGGACAGTCAGCCACTACCTGTCCCTGCATTGAGGCAGTGAAGAGAGCCCTGAGAGGCTTCCCCACCCCTCCTCCCTACCCCCAGGGATTAGCCTTTCGCTCCTTTCTTCCTCTATACCAACCATCTCAAGGAGTACCAACGGAGCTCTTGTTTTCAAAAGATTTATCCTCTTGGAGAAAAAGTTCTCCAAAGCCACAGTGGTTAGTGCAGCAGCCCTGAGGCTTTAATGGCCCATTGCTCTGGCCAGATTACGTGCAGATAAAGGACTTTCCCCCACTACCCGTATCTTGTTGTTCAAGGCCACTCAGCTCACTTTGGGGCCAAACAGGACAACCAACCAAAACCACTCACTCCTCCCTCCCTCCCTGGATCAAATAAATATCTTCATCCACTCGCTTATATTTAACCCACAGGTGCTAGTCTGTGGAATGGGGCTGTGTCTACCCAAGTCAGCTCCGGGAACATCTCAAGTACCTGCTGGAGAGTTCTGGCCCCTGCTTCCCCTTCTTTCCCAGCTGTCCTCCTCCAGATGTTTTGGTCCTACACCAAACTCATCCCAGCGAAGCTGAAGATAGGGAGGGGAGGAACTAGTTAAATATTACGGTTCAAATCCACCGACTTAATCCAGTGGTTCTCAGGCTTTGCTGTCCATTAGAATCACCCGTGCAGAAGCACCTGCGTGGCTCAGTCGGTTAAGCCTCCGACTTCGGTTCAGGTCATGATCTCGTGGTTCATGAGTTTGAGCCCCGCGTCGGGCTCTCTGCTGATATCTCAGAGCCTGGAGCCTGATTCTGTGTCTCCCTCTCTTTCTGTCCCTCCCCTGCTCTCTCTGTCTCAAAAATAAATAAACACTGAAAAAATAAATAAAAAAGAATCACCCGTGCAGCTTCTAAAATTCCCTGATGCCCAAGTGCACCTTAGACCACTTAAATCAGAATTTCTGATTTAATGGGGACCAGAGACATATTCAGTTGAGCCACATTCAAGAACCAGTAACTTAACGGCTGTTACTCGTATCTCTGAATCAGTGTTGTCTCCCATGTCTGTAAGGCCTACACGTACCTCACTTTAGAACTTTCCATGTGGAGTCAGGCATACGGCCAAGGCTTCCGACGATGATAGAATACCTCAGTCTGTTCCTGATTAACTCCTAGAACTGGAATGTGGTGGCTATTCCAAGATCACACATATGTCCCAAAGTCGCACATGACAAACATTTTATTACGTTAAAAAAAAAGTCATCTGTTAGCCGTTCAACTGCAGGCTACCTCATCTGAGGTTACCTCAGAAAAATGGCATCAGAAAACAAATACAGATTTTCAGCATCACAAAATGGCGAGATTCTCCTCCACTTCCCCATTAAATGTTAATCAGTGGCTTTGGCCGCTTCTGCTCAGAGCACCCAATTGCTGACATCACATAGGACCCGGTTATCCTAATGACACCAACGATAGGGGTCCGTCCCCAGCCGCCTCCCCGGCTTCCAGACGGTGGCGGCCTGAACAAGAAGGCAACACCCGGTGGCTCTGGGCCACTCCTCCCCGGCGAGCTCGCGCTTCTCACGATGGGCTCCGGGGGCCACATCGACGGCGGTGGTGGCATCTGGGGCCCACATGAGCAGACACCGCGCGGGGCTGCGGTCGGCCCTGCGATTGCTTCCATCTGAGGTCCCACCCGGCGTGGTCCTGCCTCACTGCGCAGCAAATGTCACACCCCAAGAGAGGGTAGGAAGTGGTGCTTCACCCCAGGAGGCGGGGACACCTGTAGAGGGACCCGCCCCGCTTGCCTTCTGGTTCCTAGCGGCTTCTGAAGACCGCAGCGTCCACGCCACATTCTGGGCATTTGGACACGACCCAAGTGCCGTGCGTGGGTCCTCAGTTCGCCCTCCCGTTCCCGGGGTGTGTCGAAGGCTGTGCAGTTTCTGGGGGTCAGAAGCTCCCAGGCTGCTCGAGAGGCACACGTGCATTCTCACTTCTCTTCTCGCCTTCCTGCAAACACCCGGCCGTACCTCTGGTGGCTTCGCGCGGGGTCAGATGGCTTCCTCCACCTGCAGGGGCTGCCCCACCGCTCCGCCTTCGAGAGTCCTTCTGCTCTGCCCACACCCGTCCCCACCCCTACTCCTTCCTCCTCCCTGCTGTCAGTCCTGCACCAGGAAGTTGATGAGGGCCGTTCTGGGGGAGAGGAACGCTTTCTTGATGCTTCGCCCCTGCAAGAGCCTGGCACCCAGCTCGCTTCGGAGGACGAGTTCGTGGACTTTGTCCTGGTCCCGCGAGACTCGCTGGGGCACGGGGATTTTGCCGCAGGCTTTGTTGTTGATCTGAGGAGAGAAGCAGAGACAAGCGATGAGGAAAAGTCCTGAGAGTGGCAGGCGCCTTCCCCGCGGAGGGGTGGCGTCCGTGCCCAGCCTCCCAACACACCCAGACGGGCAGGGAGAGGCTGGGGGCCCCCGGCACCTGCGGCCAGTGCCCCTGTGCTTCCCGAGCGTGGCCCCGTCCCAGCTGCGCAGGAAGTTAGGTCACACACCCTCAGCTGCTCCCCGGGGGAGGGGAAGGGCTGTGTCACCCAGGATTCTACCCAGGCCGCGGGTGGGCCGACTCGTGCGGAAGGCAGGCAACCTCCCTGTCATGGGCCTGGCTCCTGTGAAAAGGGGGCGCCCGGGCACGGCGACCGGGAACCTGGGCCCACATCACTTTAACTCTCCTTGCTGAGAAGGGGCCGGTACAGTTGCAGGCGTCGGTGGGTATTCACTGAGGATTTTTCAATACGGACAAACTTCACAGCAAGTATGAACTGATGTGGGCACGGGGGAAAGTGCTCTCACGGCCCTGGTGGCTTCTCAACAGCCATGCTTCAAATCCCCAAGCCCACTGCTCCCGTAAGAACACTCAACGCTTCTTTCACTGATGCTCCTGTTTTTTTTACCGGGAAAATGCAGTCACTGTATTATGAAAAGTTACCAGGAATAAGTCTCTGAAGTTTCGACCAAAGCCTATTAGGTGTCCCTAATCACCCGCCTCATTTTTTTCAGATTTATGTAGAACTTGGTGGCATTTTTCTTGGTTGCATCACCCTGTATCACTGCGCGGGAGCCAAATATGGTAAAATAGTACGTCCTGAAATGTTCTAAAATATGGTTCTTTTTGGGGGGGTGCCTGGGATTGGTTCCATCCAGTGGCTCAGTCGGTTGAGCGTCCAACTCTTGGTTTTGGCTCAGGTCATAATCTCGAGGTTCGTGAGTTCGAGGCCAGCATTGGGCCCTGCATGCAGCACGGAGCCCGCTTGGGATTCTCTCGCCGCCCTTCCCCCGCCACTCCCCCCGCCACTCGCAGTGTCTCTGTCTCTCTCAAAATAAATAAACTTAAAAATAAATAAACGAACAAATAATTAATTAAAAAAACGTGGCTCTTTAAAAAAAGTGTGAGTCTAGGGGCGCCTGGGTGGCTCAGTCGGTTGAGCGTCCGACTTCGGCTCAGGTCATGATCTCGCGGTCAGTGGGATGGAGCCCCCCGTCGGGCTCTGTGCTGACAGCTCGGAGCCTGGAACCTGCTTCGGATTCCGTGTCTCCCTCTCTCTCTCTCTGTCCCTCCCCCACTCATGCTCTGTCTCTCACCATCTCAAAAATAAATAAACATTAAAAAAGAACTAAAAAGTGTGAGTCTCGGGGTTGGGGGTGGCTCAGCCGGGTTAAGCGTCCACCTCTGGATTTCAGCTTCGGTCGTGATCTCGTGTTTTGAAGAGCTGGAGCTCTACATCGGGCTCCGTGCTGACAGTGTGGCACCTGCTTGGAATTCTCTCTCTCTCTCTCTCTCTCTCTCTCTCTCTCTCTCTCTGCCCCTCCCCCACTCGCTCTCTTTCTCTCAAAACAAATCAACTTAAAAAATAAAAGTAAATGAAAAAGCATGAGTCTCCTGGACGCAGGGTTTTGGTGTCCTAAAATGGCAGAGCTAGGGCTGCTGCTCAAAGGACTGTGCCCCCCACCACCCGCCTTCTCGTTTCTAAGCCATCGGGAGCTACCTTCTTCCACCGCCCTGTGCTTGCTTTGACCGAGACCTCCCACCCTGTCACACCAAAGCCGTGCCCCCCGTGAAGTCCTGGGGGCCCCGGACACGGCCTTCTCAGAACTTGGTAATGAGTCACACAGCTCCAGCTTCTGCTTCCGGATCTTACCCAGGGAAGAGGGGCCCGGGGCAAGCGAGAGAGCGAGTGCTTTTGCGCAGACAGACTCAGGCTTGATTCTCAGGCCTGGACTCACAAGCCGTGGGACCTTCAGTTTTCTCTTCTTTAAGGATGGAATCTTCCGGATTGTTGAGGAAGATCACCTGTCCGAAGGGACCAGCTCACTAAGCCTTACGCCTCCTTACTCCCGGCCACGATGGAAGGGGCCGGTGTGGGATGTGCTCGGCACAATGACCCTACTTCCAGACCCAGGGCTTCCCTGGGGACCTGGGGGCTGGCCCCTCTGGTGAGGCCTGTCCAGGGAGCTGAATCATTCTTGTCCCCAGCTGGGCTGGGGAAGGGGGTCCCGTGACCTCAGGATGTGGCCGGGGAACCCAGCAGACCTTCCCACACGGCCCCAGGCACCCTCTCATGGTTTCTGGAGCCCTGGGACTCCCCTGAGTCGCCTTACCCAGGGCAGTCCCTTCGCGGCGGGTGGGTCTCTATCATGCTCCACCTCCTGGCATGAGGCACCAGTTAAATGGACAACAGATGCCCCCGGACTTGGCCTTCAAGGGCCCAAAGGGGAAGAAGCTCTCTTTGACTTTAGAAGAATCTTTTGGTCTCTGGTGGCTTCATAAGCTTCTGCCCCTCCATCTTTGCCACTGCCCCCCACCCCCACCCCCATCACCCACAGCCTCGGGCCGGGGCCTCGGCATTGTTCTCTTGGACTTTTCCAACTGAAAAGTTGGAAACCATGAGCACTGCCCTCGCCCCACCCGCAGCCGCTCACCGACACGGAGGCAGCCCCGCAACAGCGAAAAACAAGGAAAGTCCCCACCGACTGAGCTCTCGCTCTGTGCCAGGCGCTGGGTTACGCAATCCACCCGAGCAAACCTGCTTATCCTCCTGCAGCCTCATAAGGTACATGCAGGACCACTGCGTGCCCATTGTACGGATGGGAAAGCCGAGGCACAAGAGGTGAAGCCACCTGCCCGAGGCCCCACCCCACAAATGGAGACGGGATGACCTCATGGATCCTCTCTCCCCCTGGTCAGCCCCCTGCCAGCCCCCAGCCCTGATGCCCTGCTTATGCCTGTGCTCTAGCCCCCCTCCGTGGCTCACCATCCCAATGTCCCTGAGGGCGCTCCCCCCTTTGCTTCTGCCGACCAGGCATCCTCTTCTGCACTAGGGAAATGCTGCTCCTCTTTACGGCCAAGGTCCCACGTCCCCTTCTGTCAATGTCCTGACTGAGCGAAGCGGTGATCCCGACACGAGCACCTAGCAAGCAGGACCGGCAGGAGCCTGTCATTTAGTCATTTGTGTGACATGGGTAAAACAGGACCCGCTCCAGGGCAGCTGTGTGGGGGTAAATGAGTCAGGATCTCGAAAGTTCTTCGGGCAGTGCCTGGCCCATAGTCGGTGCTCACTGCTTGTTAGTGGGTTTTGTCACTAGTGTGTCCAGAAGCAAGCTAAGCGTCTCCTGGCGTCATCCGATCTAATTCTTTCAACAACTAGACAGAGCAGCCACTGTGTGGCCCCCATTTCGCTGTTGAGGAAACCGAGGCTTATGGAAGTATCTTGTAAGATGGAGACTTACGGGCAGGAGAGTCTCGCTCCCAAGCTCCATGTGTTAACCTTGAGTCTCCAGAAACTCCCTCTGTGTGTGTGTGTGTGTGTGTGTGTGTGTGTGTGTGTGTGTGTGTTTGTGTGTGTGGCATTTTTGTGCCCCCTAGACCGTCCCTCGTGGGCGCCACGCTGCATGGAGAGAAGGCAGTGCCCCTGGGCTCAGTATCCCTAGTGTTGGGCACGGCCCTGCATGCCGTGGGCACCGAGAACTAGAGCCGGACCGAATCACGCTGAATTACACTGCATGGTGCTCAGCTCCCATTTCCGGCCAGGGCGCCAGTCAAGATCGCATGGACACAGAACGCAGGCCTCCACACGAGGTCTGTCACACGGCCCGGTGCCCCGAGCCCGAGGTGCTCAAGTTGGGTAGACCCGCAGGGAGTCCCATTTGCAAACATTTTAAACTCTGAGTTTTCCTTTCAACGACAATCTGAAACCATTTCGCCAATTACCAAAACGAAATTTCTTTTCTGCAGTGATCAAAGTGGAATGATACTGCATAGGCTAAACCTCCAGTTCCTCAAGCTGGCATTTCTCAGTGTGCGGAGGACGTGTTCTCAGGGGCCCACGAGATCCTTCTTATTTAAAAAAAATTTTTTTTTAATGTTTATTTATTTTCGAGAGAGAAAGAGAGCATAAGTGGGGGAGGGACAGAGAGAGGGGGAGACAAAGAATCCGAAGCAGGCTCCAGGCTCTGAGCTGTCAGCACAGAGCCCGACGCAGGGCTCGAGCTCACGGACTGCGAGATCATGACCTGAGCCAAAGTTGGACGCTTAACTGACTGAGCCAACCAGGCGCCCTGAGATCTTTCTTACAGACATTACTTAAAGTAAGGTAAAGAAGAAACGGCTTCTCTGTGCCACAGAGCTGTTTTTGACTTTGAGAGTTTTGGAAGAAGCCCTCCAGGCCAGGCCCATGTCCTCCTCTCCGTGGGGGAGGCAAAGCGGGGTCAGTGCGGAACCAAGCGCCAGGGGAGGTGGTGTGGAGACAGAGTGGCTTCCGAGGGGCTGAGTCTCCTGCATGAAGCCGTTTCTCCACACATCCACCCACCTGCTGGGCCCAGGGTTTGCACAGACACAGAAGGGCAGGGTTTGCACCTGTCTGGCAGACCAGGACCCTGGGAGGCTGTGCTCTCCCTCAGCCCCTGGGTGATGTCTTCATGGCCTTTTTCACAATTTGCAGTAATATTTTTCTTTCCTTTTTCTCTTTCCTGTCTCTCCCACTCGGCTTACAGCTCTGTAGGTATTAGGGACCCTGTGTGTCCTGTTTGATTTGTATCCCCAGAGCCTAGCACTGTGCCTGATGGTAACATGAGAACTACTGATGAATCAATAAACCTGGTCAAGGCGACCAACTTCTCTGATTTCTCCACTGCAAACACTGAGAATGGAAACGCCTACTTCACTGAGTAAGAAGAGTTTACTTCGATTTTGGATGTGAATGACCTGGCCCCATACGTGGTTCAGAGACGTGTGTGCTAAGAGGTCCCCCAGTTCAGCCACATCAGCTTACATATGTAACAATCATACAAAAGATAAACTATTAGAGTTACCTGCTCTATAAAAGGTTGAAATAAAAAATGTCTTTTATGTACCTACAATGATGCAATTTACCAAAAAAAAAATTCCTTTTTTTTTTTTTTTTTTAAGTAGGGTCTATGCCCAGCACGGAGCCCAATGCGGGGCTCAAACCCGCGACCCTGAGATCACGAGTTGGAAGCTCCACTGACTGAGTCACTGAGGCGTCCCCCCTGCAAAAGAAACTTGATGTAGCCTTTCTGAAAGAGATTTTTCAGTGAGGTGCTCCTGTTCTGCCCACCTCCTCACTCTCACCCTCCTCCCTAAAAGAACCAAGAGCAGCTGAACGAAACAGACGGAAGAGGAGACTGGAACACGGCTGGAGAACGAGACGATCAGAACCTGTAACGCAGGACAGGGTTCTATTTTCCACTTTCTAATCACTGGAGGGCCCTGAGTATTTTATGCTCACAAACTTTTGGTATGCGGTGACCTCAAAACTGAAGTGTGCAAAGCAAAGACGGGCGGGACGGTCAGGCTGAGGGCGGGGTAGGCTGGAAAGGCCCAGGCAGTGGCTGTGGGTCTCGCGAGGGGCCGGGAGACTCCCAGACTCTGGGGCTGCGGGAGAGACTCACCAGGACGGCCATCTCCACGACGTCGGGCTGCTGAAGGAACTGCGGGTCCACGGTCGGCCACGCCTGAAGCAGCACGCCGGCGTCCCAGGCATAGTGGGCACACAGCTTCCCGGGCACCTGTTGCAGGCCTGCAATGCCAAGGCACAGAGGGTCACTGAACACGCAGGGCTCACGGGGGGGGCAGGGGGAGTCGCTTTCGCCCCGGCACAGCCCGGCGTGGAGCTGCCTGAGGCCGCACTAAGGCTTTTTCACAGCCTGGCAGGTGCCCCCCCACTTACTCTGGCCTGGGTTTATGGGTAGCCCCCCCAACTATTTTCAACAGCACCCAGAGCTGTAAAGATGGGTGGACACGTGGTTCTAAAGTGTGCATTTTGGGAACAACAAGGCCGCTGATCTGGTCTCTGCGGTTCTGTTGATGAAGGAATGCCTTTGTGCTCCTGAGAGCGGATCCCAAAATAACGAGCTGTGCTCGCTTCCTTTCCTGCCTGTGATTACTTGTGGTCCGTGAGGCCCTCCCGCCGGGTCCTTTTACTCATCATCACTGGAGCCAACACACTGAGAACAGCACGGCGTTCCTTCTTGACCTTCTCAGAGGGATCTCAGCCTTCACACTCGACCTCTTCTCGAGAGGGGCTCCTGCCAAGGGCTGAACTGGAAAGAGCTGGCCTTCGCTCGGGTGGGTGGAACCTGAGGAGGCGGTGAGGAATCAAAGCCCACAAGTCTGCGTCCCTGAGCGTGTCGTGCTGTGGCCCCAAAGCAGGCACAGGCGGGCTCCACACCTGCAGGGCTGCCCGGGGACTTCAGCCGGGGGCTTCTGAGCAGGAAAGGCTTGGCCTGCAAAGTCGCTGCCGATCTCATGAGCACAAGAGAGGCCCCCAAACGTGCAGGAAAGACACGCGTCAGAAAGCAGATCCCTGGGCACTACCAGTGCGGCCGCACCCTGACCGCCTCCTAGTCCTCCTGGAGGTGGGCCCTGGACGAGGGATGGCAGGGAACGTGGCGGCATTCCTCACGCTGTGATTGGCTTTTCCGGGGGTGGCCCTTGTGCACCTCCTCCTCGTCATTAGCCTTGAGCCCAGAAGATGCATTTGAGGGAGGAGCCCATGCCTCAGCGAATGGTCTGAAGCCAGCTCTGACACAGAGGGAATGAATCCCACCAACACCAGAGTGCCAGGAACCCTGTGTTGGGACCGACAACGTTTTATTTTCCCTGAAGTAATGCCCGCTCCTGGCAGAAAAGGTCAGACTATAAAGAAGAAAATCATGTTCATCTGGACAGCATTTTTTAAGCTTCTTGTTTGGGAAGATAGTAATGTATTTAATGGCTAGGATATATATAAACCAACCCCACCAAAACAACCCGCTACCGTCAGGATCATGCTGTATATGGAGTTCTGTATTCCTTTTGTTTCACTACTTTAAAATCATACTTAATTAGAGGGGCGCCTGGGTGGCTCAGTTGGTTAAGCGGCCGACTTCGGCTCAGGTCATGATCTTGCAGTCCGTGAGTTCGAGCCCCGCGTTGGTCTCTGTGCTGACAGCTTGGAGCCTGGGGCCTCTTTCGGATTCTGTGTCTCCCTCTCTCTGACCCTCCCCCGTTCATGCTCTTTCTCTGTCTCAAAAATAAATAAACGTTAAAAAAAATTTTTTTTTTTTTTAAATAAAAAAAAATAAAATCATAATTAATTAGAGAGCCTGGGTGGCTCAGTCCGTTAAACGTCCGACTTCAGCTCAGGTCATGGTCTCACGGCTTGTGAATTTGAGGCCCGCGTCGGGCTCTGTGCTGACAGCTCAGAGCCCCCTTAAGATCTTCTGCCCTCCCTCTGTCTCTGCCCCTCCCCTGCACATGTGTGTGCTCCTTCTCTCTCGCTCTCAAAAGTAAATAAACATTTAAAGAATAAATAAAATAGTGATTAATTTCATGGGAAAGGATGGTATACAATAGCACACATAACACGACTCCAGTTTTAGTAAATGTTTATACGAACGGACAAAAGGTCACAGGGAATGGAACACAATACCAGCAGTGACTGTATCTTGGAGGTGGGAGCACAGGTGATCTTTCTTTCTTGAAAAATTTTTCCTTAACATTTGTTTATTTTTTGGGAGACAGAGACAGAGCGTGAGTGGGGGAGAGGCAGAGAGAGAGAGGGAGACACAGAAACCGAAGCAGGCTCCAGACTCTGAAATGTCAGCACAGAGCCCGACGCGGGGCTCGAACTCAGGAACCACAGGATCCTGACCTGAGCCGAAGTCGGATGCTTAACCGACTGAGCTCCCCAGGGGCCCTTTTTCTTTTAATGTGTTAACAGATTCTCTACCAAAAACATTGAATACTTCAGTAATTTGAAAGGGTATTTTGAAATCAAGGTTTCCCACACTGTGAGATCAGTTCAAGATTTTTCTTCTGTTTTTTTCTAATTTTTTTTTGTCTTTTTATTTTTTTACCTTTTAAAATTTATTACTTATTTGAGAGAGACACAGACAGCACAAGTGGGGGAGGGGCAGAGAGAGAGAGAGGATCCCAAGCAGTCACAGCACTGCAGCACAGGGCCGGGCGCGGGGCTCGAACTCGGGAAATTGTGAGACCGTGACCCGAGCCGAAACCAAGAGTCAGACGCTTAACTGGCTGAACCACCCAAGTGCCCCTCTTCTGGTTTCTTTGTAGAGTTTCTCTGTGTTCCCCGTTGAATCAGCTGTGCCTTCTTTTGTGGGTGACGTGAAAGAACATTACACGGTCAAGTTTCCAAACCTGGTTGGCAGAGTCAACCTCCCCTTCCCTATCGGTTTGTGATTTTTCTTTTACAATACCCTGTAGTCGGGATGGTTTCTGGATTCTCCAAAGCTCTTACAAGTAGCTCTCAAAGTGGCCGTCCAGGATTTGGTAGAGCTCGGCCAGAGCGTGGACCAACGTGCGGCTTCCTCGAGAGGGTCGCGCTCCTGAAAGAAACTGGTCGGCCTACCCCCCGGTGTGTGCGTAGAGGCAGAGGTGATCCACCTTGTAAGCTCAGGCTGCTTATCTCCTCGTGGGTTGTTCCCAGACCGGCCCCGGGTCCACGGCTCACTCTGGAGCGGTGCTGACCCATTCTACTCCGGGCACCTCTGTCGTGACTCTTGTGCTGGTATCGCGCGCTTATGTGTTGCTTATTGTATGCTTCACTCTCTGGCACTCTTGCTGTAACCCCGTGCTGCCAGTTGGTCTGAGGGAAGTGAACGCCTGCCAGAGTCTGAGAACCGAGCAGCATCAAAGATGTATTCCTGGGGCCCAGCTGGCCCCTGTGCCCCGGGGTTCCAGCACTTGCCAATGGACCTACTCCATTCCTGACAGATGTGCGTTTTGGCCGAAGCCGAAAGGAGCTTCCTGCTTGTTCCTCAGAAGGGGTGCTATTATGACTCCTATCTAAATACAAGACAGAGGTCACAGGAGGGAGATAATCACGTCTTTATTTTAGCAGGCTGGCCCAGTCTGCCTTGTCCTGTGACCCAGCTGCAGCGGGACGGATTCCAGACCCTCCGCATGGTAATTGTACAGGATGCCTGGGAGATGAAAGGGCCTCGGACACAAATGTTCTGGGCAGAAGCTGTTACAAATTCCACAATAAAAAAAAAAATGAGGAAGCCCGGCCTTCCTGGAGCGATCAGGATGCTTATTTATAGCAGCCTGGGTCCCTGCCAGGGTTTCCCTATAGACAGGGGTGGGGCCATCCTGCTGAGCGGGGAGGAACAGAAACGGTGGGGGGTTCTAGGCCCTGTTTTTGCCTCTCTACTCTTTAGGGAGGTAAAAATACCCAACATTCGCATAGCAAAAACAATGGTTTCTTTACATGACACAGCCCGGGTCCGAGAGCTGGCCTCTGGGTTAGCACCTGGACAAAGTCTGAACACTTTGGGAAGTGTCAAGGCCATGGAGCACAAGGCTACCACGCGGAGGCTGGCTGTTGCCTACGGCCCACTCCCTTCTGACCCCTCCTCTGGGAGAGCTGTCGTCACTGACCTTCCAGGCAAGTGACCGAAACAGCTGAACCGAGCCTCCTCTCGTGCGCGGAGCACTGGCAAGGTCGCCACGCCGCCGTGGCAGCCGGGAGCGAGTGCTGGGGCGGTCACGGTGTCTGTGGCCGGCGGCCCCTCTTGCTGGCCGTTACCAGGCCGGCTGCCACCCCGGCCCCGCGCTCTCACACACACGTAAGGGTGGGCTTGGGGACTCCATGGCCTCTGATCCCCCCCCCCGAGCCTCATCCAGCCCTGGCGATTCCAAGGAAATGGACAGGATGTGATGCCGCCAGATTTTGGCTTTTGCCCACAGAAGGGGTCCTGCTGACTTTTCTTTTGAAATAACGACGCTGACACGCACATGCGTATTCGTATGTAAAGTGCCCTCAGACCATCAGTGAGAACTTACTCTCCTTTGCAATGGACACACACACACACACACACACACACACACACGATTTGTACGTTTGTAATTTTGTTGGAATTGAGGAACAAAACACATACGTGTGGCAAAATGCTACACTACACTTTTTTACAGCCACTTTTACGAGGAAAAATGGATCCGTGGCGGCAGCCTGGGGCTTTGAGGGCTGCGAGTTACTTAGGAACGCCTAAGCGGGGGGCACAGGGTCACCTTGCTGTGACCTCACAATTAAGGTGCTGATGAAAGACCTGAAGCCCCCACAAGGTAAAGCCTGAGGCAGGAGTCCAGACGGAAACCTCCCTGTGCAACCCTAAAAATGGCCAGAAGAACAGAGAGCTTACCGCCACATTTAAAAAAAAAATTTTTTTTCAACGTTTATTTATTTTTGGGACAGAGAGAGACAGAGCATGAACGGGGGAGGGGCAGAGAGAGAGGGAGACACAGAATCGGAAACAGGCTCCAGGCTCCGAGCCATCAGCCCAGAGCCCGACGCGGGGCTCGAACTCCCGGACCGCGAGATCGTGACCTGGCTGAAGTCACCGCCACATTTTAAATAACTCGTAGTTTGGACAAGAGGCTAACCCCAAAGCAGCACAAAAAAATAGCAAAAGAAAAACCACCCAAATGACTTACAGAGCCTTCGTAGGGTGGGACACAATGTGGCTGGTAAACAAAAGAACGGTACGCCCGCCAGTAAGTGTCGATACAGAATTG